ATTTCTCGGCACCAAGTCGTGGTGGTTGGCAAGGGAGAATTTCTTTGTACTCTTTCTGTGTGAGTTCAAATTTAATCGTCGCCAAAGTTGTTGTGGTAGTCGAGGGAGAAATTTTTCTTTTTTCGTGTGAGTTTGAAGTCCTCGACGCCAAGTTGACGAGGGAGAATTTTGTCTTTTTTGTTCTTCCCGTGTGAGTTCGATATCCTCGTCGCCAAGTTGTTGTCGACGAGGGAGGATTTTGTTATTTATTCTTCCCGTGTGAGTTCGAAGTCCTCGTCGCCAAGTTGTTGTGCCTTCCGGGTTGAAATCCGGTACCAATAAATAACAAACGCCAAGAATTAATATATCAAAATAATGTATTAACGTAATAATACAAACTGGTAAAGCAGGTTAATAGTTCCAGGAATACGGGTTAGTAACAAAATATATATACAGTCTTTGGTATTGAAGTATCGCTGTATGACTTCTTACTGAGTCTACGTGCTCGCTCACAGTGACTCCTACAACACTGTTACCTCACCCCTCACTCTTCCGGTTACCTACAACCTTTTATTCTGTCACTCTGGACTCGACTCTTCGGTCTTCCTCTCTCGGGTCTTCACGTAGCTTTAGTATATGTATATAATGGGTAAGTGTGGATCTCTCAACAATAAATGTATGTGTGCATGTGCAAATATGTGTGTATGTGTAAATATATGAGTGTGTATGCGTGTAAATATATGTGTATGTGTAGATATATGTACTTATTTATATATATATATATATATATATATATATATATATATATATATATATATATATATGGATATATTAGTACTATCTCTGATATTAAGCGCTATCTAATAACTACCGCGCATATAATATATAAATAATTATATATATATATATATATATATATATATTTATATACACACTTTTCACACACACACACACACACATATATATATATATATATATATATATATATATATATATATATATATATATATTTATATATATCAGGTGGCCTGAGGATTGCGTCTAGCATGAAACAGTCCGTCACCTCTAATTGTTGACTTCAATATTCACTTTTATATTTACACACGGTCTATCTCTGATATTGAGCAGTTTATCCCATAAATATAGCACACCTAAAAACTATATTTCTTCATATATATATATATATATATATATATATATATATATATATATATATATATATTAAAAATCAGGAGGTCAATTTAAATACGCGGCCTTGGTTTCAAACTGACGTTCTCTTCGGGGGATATTTTTAAAAATGCCCTCCTTAACGCTTTATTTAAAAAAAAAAAATACGAAGAATGCTACATGATTATTTTTCAAAAATAAATTAACAGGCACATGATGATCGAAAAACATGACATTGAGTGTGATAGAAAGGAAGGCGGTCTGGAGAGGAAAGAAGAAAAAAAAGAAGGGTTAAGAAAAGAAAAGAAAGGAACGGGAATGCAAGTGTATTGTAAATGTATGCAGTAAAGAAGAAGAAAAGCAAATGTGTAATTTAAATGTAAAGGAGGATAAAGAGAGGAGCGTAGCTTAAGAATAACAATGGTTTTTAAATTATATTTTTTTTTTTATCCGGCTTCATATTCACGTAACAAATGATGTCAAGGCAAGGATTTTAAATTTAAGATTTTTGGTTTAAAAGATTTTTTGGAGCCAGAAATGTCGTAATCCCTAATTTTTTAAGTTGGCATAGTTTGAAAATGCAGGTATAATTGTTATATAGTTTTAACTTTTTTTAAAATTTTCCACCTTACTGTCGGGTCCATATCATTTTTTCTTTTAAATTCCAGATGTGGCTAGAATGTTTCAGGAAGAATATATATATATATATATATATATATATATATATATATATATATATTATAAATTAATTGATTTAAAATATTTTTCGCTACACATTTCTAACCATGTTTCAAAAATGGATGCTGAAAGTCGAATTTAATTTTGTAAATAAATTGAAGACAATTTTGTAATTAAATTAAAATTACATTTTATATATATATATATATATATATATATATATATATATATATATATATATATATATATATATATATATAGTATAGGATTGGTGTATGTGGAATAAATTACAATAACTAAAAATGCTATTCTTAAAAGAATGCTCAATACAGAGTAGAAACAAATATAATATATTCGAAAAATTTACCATAAATATGTCATAAAATTGCTAAAAAAATAGCCATTTTCTTTCAACACTTCTGTTGTCTTATCAAGTGATGGTGTTGAATGTAGAGTAAATAAATAACACTTTATTCTACATTCAACATCATCACTTGTAAACACTAGATGTGTTGAAATAAAATGCCAAATTTTGCAGTGATTTTATGATATATTTGTGTTATAAATTTTATATATATATATATATATATATATATATATATATATAGATAGATAGATAGATAGATGCTTGATTGATCAAAAAAATGACTAGCTACCTTTATTTATTTATTTATTTATTTATATTATGAGTAGAAGTATTCTATCTTCTGAAATTAATGAGTGTAAAATTCTCAAACATGGTGTCCCAATACTTTCAACTGTATTTTTTTCTGATTCTAAATGTCTTTTGTATGCATTTTCCTGCAGACATTCTTTCTCGATAATCACATGATATGTCCATGGGAAAATAGATTTCTGAACAAGCTAATATATTAAGTAGGAAACTTGTCCCTCTGGTAGATTCCCCGATTGGGTAATTGTTATTAGCTGTTGGAGAACAAAACCTAAATCGTGATTATGAAGCGTGTTACGATGATGGAAAGAAAGTACAAATGCTTTGATAATATTAAGAAGAATTTGTATAAAAAAAAATTCCCTGAAAACTAAGAGAAAGCATATATATCGTAAACGAGGATGGTACGGGATTAAGAGCATTGTAATCGCATATTACGATCAGAGAGAATGGCGACTGGAGAGATAAAGAAGATATACAAAGAACAGATGAAGTGGGTGGCAGATGGAAGATAATGTAATGATAAAGAGAGTAAGACGTTAAAGAAAAGAGAAGTATTGATAGAGAGATGAGATTATGAAGAAGTCAAAGAAAGAAAGACGACGTAAAGTGGGGCAGAGAATAAGACGTAGATGGAGTATTGATGAATGAAATGTAGACAAAATGAAAGAAAGAATGAGAAAATTAGAAGAATATGAAGATGACAATGACGATAATCCTTAGAGTGATAAGAAAGAAAGAAAGAAAGAAAGAAAGAAAGAAAGAAAGAAGAAAATGAAAATTGGACCTAACAATAAAAGGTAACGGACGACTAGATAAATGAACCAAAGTAGAAAATAAAGAAAGAAAATAACAAAAGGGGAAATATCATAAGGGTAATTGTAATTACGAATGGAGAAAGAAAGAAAGAAAGAAAGAAAGAAAGAAAGAAAGAAAGAAAGAAAGAAAGAAGAGAAAGGGAAAAAGAAGATGCCGACAATGATGATCATAAAAAGAAGGGAAGATAACTGAGGGAAATAATGTGAAACATATGAAATTATTGTCGGAAAGAAAGAGAATGGGTATAAAAGGGAAAAAAAGAAAGAAAGCAAGGGAAAAGCAAATAAAAAAGAATGAAAAAGAAAAGGGATTGAGAAAAGACAAAGAGGAGTGCTAGAAAAAAAAAAACGAACGGGAGAAGGGCGCATTCCAAAAACAGAAAATGAAGAAAAGAAGAAAGGGAAACTATAAGATGAGAAAATACAAATTTTGATTGATTTGTTTTTTAGGGGTTATCAATCTTTTACGAGTTAGTTGAGGAAAAAAGAAAGAAAGACAAGAAAGAAAAGGAGTAACTAATAGATAAATGAACCGAAGTAGAGAAGAAAGAAAGAAAGAAAGAAAGAAAGAAAGAAAGAAAGAAAGAAAAAGGAACAAAAGCTAATAATGGTAACGAGTAAAGGGATTAGAAAAGAAAGAAAGAAAGAAAGAAAGAAAGAAAGAAAGAAAGAAAGAAAGAAAGAAAATTAAAAAAGAATCAAAAAGGTAATAATGGTAATAATTATAACGAATGGAGAAAGAAAGAAAGAAAGAAAGAAACAAAGAAAAAAAAGAAACAAAAAGAAAGAAAAGAAAAAAAGAAAAGAAGAAAAAGAAAAGGAACAAAAGGTAATAATGGTAACGAGTAGAGGGATGAAACGAATGAAAAAAAAGAAAAAGAAAAGAAAGAAAAAGAAAGAAAGAAAAAGAAAGAAAAAAGAAAATTAAAAAAGCATCAAAAAGATAGTAATGGTAATAATTATAACGAATGGAGAAAGAAAGAAAGAAAGAAAGAAAGAAAGAAAGAAAGAAAGAAAATATAATAAAAGTAATAATGATGCCGAATGGAGGGATGAAAAAAAGAAAAGAAATAAGAAAGAAAGAAAGAAAGAAAAAGAAAGAAAGAAAGTAAGAAAAAAAAAAAGAAACAAACAAAAAACAATGAAAGAGAAAAGGAAAAAAAAACTCGATGCAAATGATGAAGGCAAGTAATTTGAGACAGAAGACTCCAATAAATTGTTGTCGAAAAGAAAGAGAATGAGTAGAAAAGAGGAAAAAGAAAGCAAGGAAAAAACAAAGACAAAAGAAGGGAAAAGGACAAGGAAACACGATGCGCTTATTAAGAAAAATCTAAGATGAATGCTAAAATGTACAAAAAAATAAACGGGTGAAGCATGGATACCAAAAAATGAAAAATAAAAAACAAAAAAAAAAAATAATTGATTTATTTTTTACAAGTTATCATCCCTTTGCGGGTTATTTGAAACCAGAAGATATTTTTAGACTCTAAAATTATTTGGGTGGTAAGGGAGACGATAATTATTTACTAATACAAAAATTAACACATAGCAGGGGAGATGAAGTGGATTCATACTTTTTCTAAGGGTATTTGCGCGTGAATATAACGAAACTGACTGGAATTGGAACTCAGCTTTCTAATTTCCTATTCCGAGCCATTATCTATTACACCAGCCGCATATCCAAGCTTACACCACCTGGTGTACCCAAGCGGTCACCCATGTAAGGACTGACCTAGGCTCGAGGTTACCTAACTTCAGTGATCGTACGAGAACCTGTGTTTTAAAGTAATATGGGCGTAAGCCAGAAAATAAAAAAGAAAACCAGCAGATAAAAAAGGGATAAATGATTAAATATGAAACGATGGAAAAAAGCAAGAACAAGATCAGGAGCAGAGAATGAAAGAAAGAAAATAAAATGAATAGGGAGCGATCGAGAATTTAAAAAAGCTGATGAACAGAAAGAGGGTTTTATGCAAGTGAAGGAGATAAAAAGGTGAAATAATAATAATAATAATAATAATAATAATGTTTCATTTCAGTCATGTTGGGTTTTATTTTCAAAATGGAGTTCCAAATAAGTGAAGAAAAAGATGTAAAAGATAATACACAGACTGAAGTTGCAAAATGCTTACAAAAAGAAGCAAAGGCAAATGCAACCGACCAGATACAGAAACGCTGTCAAGATAAACGGCATCACGGTCAGTATTCTGCTCGTATCAAACAAGCTGATGTAGACAAACCCTGTATCCATCAGTGGCTACCTAGTGCAGGGTTACAATCTGAAACCAAGGTTGTTATTCTTGCTGCACAGGACCAATGCTTGCTAACTAGAAATTACCAAGCACACATAATGAAAAATTCTATTAGACAAAAATGCAGATTCTGTGACAAATGCCCAGAAACAATTGACCATCTTGTATCAGGTTGCACAGTACTGGCACCTATTGAATATAAAACCCGACATGAGTGAGTGGTCCAATATCTGCATTGGAAAACTGCAACTTTTACGGAAATGTAACTACAAGAAAGTGGTATGAACACAACCCAGACCCGATTACGGAGATAGGACCTGTAATATTTTTATGGGACTACACAATACACACAGACAGAACAATTAAAACTAACCACCCCGACATTGTTATTAGAGACCGCAAACAAAACGTGTCTTCTTATTGACATAGCACTCAATGTGCATTCTAATGTATCTTTAAACATCTTCAGAAATCAATCAAAATACAAGGACACTGAAATCGAAATCGCAAAAATGTGGCACATGAGAACATAAACAATTCCAGTTGTATTTGAAGCCCTCGAATGGTTTGGGAATGATTCCAATAGACGAATTGAAGGGATTCCTGGAAGCCCATGCCTTAAATAAATAGAAAAAAAATTGTTCGCACGAGTATAGCGCACACCTTACGGAGGGCTTTATCTATGTAAAATATGTGTGACTCTTTCTTTTTTTTTCAAAATTGCTAACGGGAAAATATCATGATACCATTTCTGACCATAGGTCTCTGGTCGGGACCCAGAAATGATTACACACCAGAAATCAAAGGAAATTAAATAATAATAATAATAATAATAATAATAACGCTATCGACATTAAAGTCAATATCAACGACGGCATATTATGTGGTATGCCAGAGTTAGATACTGTTTTGAATTCAAAGCTGTTCTTATCCAAGACTGATTATCCACCAGGGCTTGAGAGCCATGTGTGCCCTTTTATTTAAATCGTAGCTGGTGGGAGAGCATATTTATTACAACGTTCCCCAAATAAATAATCTACCTTACAAACCCTTGCGCACAGTTGAAACGTTGCAAACCTTAGGCTAGTCTGTAACTATTTCCGTGGGAAGTGTTCAGACTAACGAGATTTCTCTGTTCAACTAGCTCTAACCTTCACGGCTAAGACCTGTCTTGCCACCCGCATTGTAATGAACCACCCTCAGTCCCTTTGCATTTGACTGGTGTGATACGTGCCACTCGAGCACCTTCCTTCTTTGTGGGACTGATTCAAACGCAGATGCTTTCCACGATCAGTACAATCATAGCCTGTTCAAGTCTAGCGTTAACCGTGTTATTACCTACGTATCCTCATGAACTGTTCATCTTAACTCTTATTCTGTAAACCTCTACCTCGAGTATTTCTTGGGGCTTGTATGGAGTGAATAGTCTTGTAAAAATCATGCAATTACTCGAAAGACAATGTAACGAATTCGGCAGATCCATTTCTCGTTCGTTGTCACTAAGTCATTAACCACCTGCAGGTCCGAAGAATAAAAGAAGAGCGTGCTATCAAAAAAAAAAAAAAAAGAAAAAAGAAAAGAAAGTACAATGTTTGCGAAATGGAGAAGAGAAAGAGAAGAAGAGAGAGTTGATGAACGAATGATAATAAAGATAATAATCCTGGAAGCTGGTGAATAGTGCGAAGAAAAAGGAGATAGGAATAAAATTAAAAACAGGTGAAGGAAATTAGGATGGGCGAATATACTGCAGAGAAAATTAAAAAAAAAAAAAAAAATCAGAAGAGAAAGAAGAAATTAAATATGCAAAAAAAAAAAAAATGGAGGAAAAAAAGACGACTGCCGTTGGCGATAAAAAACAAAACAAAACAAAAACAAAAGAAAAATTTGGACGGAAAAGACGAAAACACTAGCAAGAATTAAATAACTTTGCGAAATCATTTAAAAAAAATGCCCATTATTAGAACCAAAACGTTGACAGAGATAGAAATCTCAAATTAGGATGTAAAGTAAAAAAAAAAAAAAAAATCGAAAAGTACAAAAATTCACTCGCCCGTCTTAGCTCAGCAAATCAATAAGTATCTTCTATGTGAAAGACATTCAAATATCTATGTTCTGGAGGAGAAATACGGTTTAAAAATATTGTCAGTGTTCTGTTGGCAATAAAGAAAATGACAGAGACTTTGCTTAGCGTAACTTTTTCTTTTTTTTTTACGATTCAAGTCGTTCAGGTGTTACGACCAAGAAGCGCCGCATAATGAAAATATTACTAAAAAGAACTTGGCACTGAAATATGAGATGATGATTTTGGAGGACGGATTGGAAATTTAAAAGAAAACAATGAGAAAGAAAAAAAAAGCGAGCGACAACAAGAAATTAAAATCAACTAAAGAAAGATGGTAGAACGAAAGAAAGCAGAAAAAAAATGGCTGACGTCAAAGAAAGCGACAGACACTGAAATGTCTGAATAAAAAAAGGCTAACATGTGTTGACGAATTTTTGAGTTGAGCAAAAGGGAATCTTTCACAAATTTATATCCTGCTGGTTTCGAATAGTGAATTTTAGCACGGGTGGCCAAACGTCATAGATTACAATTTTAATTAAAAATCAAATCCCCTGTGGATTCGATCCAAATGGAAAGGGAAAATACACATTAATTTTTTTCGCGTCTATAATGTATAAAAATAAAAACATTCATATATTCATTCAGCTTCGGGCACTCCGATCTGGTGTAATGGTTATCGTGCTTGTCTCACTAGATTAATAACGACACGGTACCCCATAATTTCAGCCTTGTCCCACATTAAAACTACGCTTAGAAATTATTTTTGGTAATTCGACGTGTTGTAATGGGTAGCAAGCTTGTCTCGATCAATTACGACTGAGTTCGATCATCACTTGGTGCTTCTGACATTCGGGCTTCTGCCACATCTAAGCTACCCTTAGAAAATCATCACATTTTCAACTGAATAGTGAGTTCGATCCCCACTAGGTGCTCCATATTTTTGGCCTTGTGCCACATCTAAGCTACACTTATAAAATCACCATATTCAGTTTTATGTAACTTTTGTTTTTATTTGTATTACTGTTGTTTTTGAATACCTCATATTGCAATAAGACAAGCATATTATATAATGAGACATAGCGTATCATTTTGGCGATCAATTTAGCGTGGAGTATTTCACCTTAATACATTGCTTTCTCTTTTAATTAAATTTGCAATTTTTAAGTTGAAAAATATGTTCAGTCCTCTTACGGCAAGGCATTGAGAGCATTGTTTTGTAAAAATCTTCTTATAAAATTTTTTAATTACTAATTATTTTACACGCACACACGCACGTACAGACACACGCACACGAATATATATTTCTTCAAATGTTATTTTTAGTGGATACCCATATTTGTGTAGACGCCCCGATTATTTTAAACTGTATTTATTTCGTCTACTGGTCTGTGTACGCAAGAAAACTTAAAGAAAGGGAGCCCTCTTTCAGAATTCGAACATTCGCGCCGGGTATCCATTGAAAAATAATGTTTGATGTAATAAAATATATCGGATTATATATATATATATATATATATATATATATATAATTATTTATTTTAAAAATTTTATAACATAAATATGTTATAAAATCACTACAAAAAAATAGCCATTTTGTTTCAACACCCCAGTGTCTTATCAAGTTATTATTATGATTATTATTAAGATTATTATTATGTTGAATGTAAAATAAGTGGTTTTAAAAGTTTCAAATTAATTAACGATCCTTCACAAGGGGAATACTTGGATATTAGCTCCACATATACACCAATCATATACTTGGATATATATATATATATATATATATATATATATATATATATATATATTTCTCCCGCACTTCCGGCCAATTCATTTCCAGCAAGAATTCGGGACCGAACCAGACGCCAAGTATCTTGACCGACCTGTCTGTCAGGGAAAAGTCCGCGTCAAAATACAAGTCAACAGACATCGCGGTTGATCATGGCCCCTGTCCTCGTCTCATACTCTCTGGTCTCTTTGCCGTCTTCGTCCATCTCGGCTCAGCTCTGCTCGACACAAGAATCGAAACGTCATCGGTATAGGCGGAGTATCTGCTCGAGATGTCTGCACCAGGTAACGAGATTCCGCGTAGGACCGGATTCGCCTTTAACTTGCGAAGGAAAGGCTTCAACGCATGAACGTAAATCAAAGGCGAAAGCGGACAGCCTCGAGGAGTGGAGTGAGACAACACGAAATGCTCCGATCGTACCGAGTTCACTTCCACAAACGCAATGGGGGACGCGTACATAAATTGGATACAAGTGCGAAAGTACGGCGCAAAACCGGCGGCTGAAAGGCCAGCCGACAGAAGACGATGGCCAACCATATCGACTGCTTTGGACTGATCACGTAATATAAAAATGGGAAATAAAATTTAAAAACTGTGCTTTAAAGCCTGATTTTTAAGAATAAGGACAGAAAATCTTAAACACTTACTACAAAATTAAAACAAGAAAAGAAAAATAAATCAAAAACAGTAGTGCAA